CAGTTTTAGCCACGTGGTCCTGGGCTTGTCACTTCCCTCTGGGCCTCAGTTTTCTTTCCTGAAAAATGGGGTTAATGACCTTGCTCCCCTGCCAGTTGTATGCTGATAAATGTTCGCCAACCTGCTTTCCAAAAAAAGGGGGGCTCTGATTTATAGTTTGCCGTATTTGCTCATTTCTGTGGGAAAATATTCCTGCCATGGCCATCTTGGGATGATTTCACTAAGTGTGGAGTTGGGAAGAGGTGATGCAACTGGCGCCCCCAAGCCCACGGCTGCTGGCTCCAGCACACCCCTGCCTGCTCCCCTCGGAGGCAAAGAGCAGATGAAATGAGATGATAGATACTCAAGTGCTTTGTAAACTGCGGAGTGCTTTATAGATGCAGAGTTGTGACGATGATCAACCTTATAGCCGAAGGGACCCCAGGGCACATTGAGAGCCCTGGCCTAGCTCCCGCCCAGGAAGGGGGAGGTTGTGGGTTTGGGTGCCCACACTAAATGGCAGGGCGAAGAGTGCCATCTGGGGTAGCTCCTGAGATCTGAGAAAGGCGGAAAGCTGACTGGGCCTCCTGCGCTGGTTTGCTGGTCTTGGCACGTGCACATCCCACCGTGCTTCCTGAAACTGGAGCAGGTAGGAGAAAGGTCAGCGATCAGTGAAGGATTCCCTCTGCGTGCAGATGCCGGCCGCCCGCGGACACTGGAGCCACCAGAGAGGCCTCCTGAGGGATCCAAAGCAACAGTCACTCCCTCCTCACTCTAATCCCTGGAGTTTCCTCGGCCATCCCACCATAGGGGGATGGCTAAAACCATCTCTGAGGCCAGTTGAGCAGCTGAGCCTCTGCAAATGGGGTAGGAGGATATCAGGGAGCTGGAAGTGGGAGGCAGGAAGAGGAATTTCCTCTGCTCTGCCTGCCCCCACACCTAGAGCTCATGCTTTAAATTAACTCTGTCCCACTGTTAATTATTAATAATAGCTATCATTTATTGAGCACATACTATGCATTAAGCTATTTACAAGCAATATTTCATCTAATCCTCCAGAGAGGTACGTATTATTAGCCCTATTTTACAAATGAGGAAACTGAGGCCCAGGGAAGGGAGTTAAGCAACTTGTCTACCCCAAGTCCCACAGTTACTGTGATTCAAATCCAATCCTGACTCTAGAGCTTCTGAACTAGATCATCCAACTTCCGGAACTCCACTGGCTACTCCAGGTTGGAATCAGGAGCCAAGGCGGTCTCATCCCTCTCCCCACAGTGAGCCCTTCCCTGTGCTGGACAGGAGCCCCCCTTATACACCCATCTGAGCCCCTCCGCCCACCCCTGAGGCAGCAGGGTCCTTTGGACTGCAGTTGATGAAGGACCCCCTATTTCCAAGGCGATGTGATCTTAGGCAAGTCCCTTAACCTCTTCTCTGGGCCTTCTTTCCTCATTTGTAAAATAGAGCTTTTGCTGAGGCAACCAAAGGGGTGCCATGGTCACCAGATCAGGAGTCATTAATTATAAAACCTTCCCAGAGGAAACCCTGCACTGAGGGCCATTCAGGGACTTCTGCATCCTCAGTGCAAATCAAGGGACAGGCCTCCAAACTCTCCATAGCTCCCCTGGCTCTAATCCTTCCCCTTGGGGCTTAGAGGAGGTGGGGTGGTGGTTTGGCCAAGCCAGGGTATGAAAGTTATGACTGTGAGCCTTCAGTTAAGGCCTCTGATGTGCAGGAACTCGGTCAGGGCTACAGTGGCCTGGGACATAGGGACTGCTGCAAGGATGGGGTGACAATGTCTTGGGACGTACGGACTGCAGCAAGGATGGGGTGACAATGTCCTGGGACGTAGGGACTGCAGCAAGGATGGGGTGACAATGTCCTGGGACATAGGGACTGCAGCAAGGATGGGGTGACAATGTCCTGGGACGTAGGAACGGCTGCAAGGATGGGGTGACAATGTCCTGGGACAGAGGGACTGCTGCAAGGATGGGGTGACAATGTCCTGGGACAGAGGGACTGCTGCAAGGATGGGGTGACAATGTCCTGGGACGTAGGGACTGCTGCAAGGATGGGGTGACAATGTCCTGGGACGTAGGGACTGCAGCAAGGATGGGGGTGAGGCAGATGCTGCAAGGGTCCTTGCAGGAAGGCCAAACCCTCGCAGGAGGTTCGACCCGACCTGGGGTTCAGAGAGGCCCTCTCAGGTTCACGTCTCAGAGGAGCAGGGAACAGAGCCCCCTGAGGCTGAGTGAAGGGAGGCCAGGCAGATAGGGCAGGACTGGCAAGGGCAGCCGCTACCGGGCCATGGGGCCATTAGCCAATCTTCCCAGGCCTGTCAGGCCTGAAGCAGTGAGACCACCAGGGAAAATAGAGTCTGGGGTCAGAGACCACAGCCCCATTTGGCCAATGAGGCCAGATGTATGATGCGCATCCTTAAGCATATTCTATGTGCTGGGCACCTTGTACACATCGTCTCACTTAATCTTCCTGCCGGCCCTTCCGGATGGGTTCGCAATTGCCATTTATCAGAGAAGCAAAGAAAGATGCAGAGAATTACACGGTTTGTTCAGTCACCCAGCCAGGAGGTGACACCGCTGGGATTCAAACTCGAGTCAGTTGAAATCTTAGCTAAACCCTGGCTCTTCACCACATTTTATTGTGGCCTCTGGAGAGGGGTCCAACCACCACCCACTGTGGGGGGAAGGGCACCCCCCCACGGCCTTGCCTCTGGAGGTGCTGGAGAACACCTCGGGAAAGCAATCTGGGCCAGGGCCAGGTGTGACAGGCAGGCCCCAGCTGTCCAGGAGCTGTCCAGGGAGCGGGGGCCAGACCAGGCGGTCATGCGGAGCCAGAGATGGGCTGCCCTGCACCTTGGGCCCCATGCCTGCTCCATTGTGGTGTCCAGTTACGGCCAGCTCGGCGCTTCCCCGGTCACGCCACATTTAGCATTGCCGAGTGAGCGGGCGCCTGGACACAGAGAAGGGGCGGTGGAGACTCTTGAAGGGGCGGGAGAGCCTCCCACCAGGCCCCCACCTGGACCCCAGCTACCAGCTCCCTCCACCACTGAGCCCAGAGGGACTTGGAACAAATGTCTTCCCTTCCTGGTCCCTGTTAACCCCTGTCAAACAAAGGAGATAGTTCATTTAGCAAAGATGTGCTAACCCCAGCCCGGGCACCATGGAATCTCCAAGGCCATTCCTCCACCCACAGCTCCTAAGAGAGCATAGCTTGGGATGCGCAGTCATCCTGCTCTGCTTGAGTGGGTCTTGGGGAGGAGGGATAAGTGTGAACCTCATGATTTTCTTATTGCCTGTCCCACCTCCAGCTTACCCCACCCCTACTCTGACCCCCTATGAAATGAAGAAACTGTAAGACAGACTCCAGAGTCAGACAGATCCGGGTTCAAATCCTGCTCTATCAAGGATTAGCTATGTGACTCAGGCAAGTCACATGACTCCTGCAGGCCTCAGTTTCCTCATCTGAAAAGTGTGCTTAATAATGTACTTACTTTCCTCACAGGTGTTCTAACAAACCAACAAAAACATTCTCCGTATCATTTATACAATGGCCAGCCCAGAGCAGGCATTTGGCAAATGGTAGCCTTTATCAGAGACCACATGGGTAAAGAGAAGTAAATTCAAGAGAAAATGCCCTTTGCAGGTGGCGGAGAAGGAAGGCAGAGAACTGAGTGATGATGATAGAGCCGTACTAATGAGAGCTGGCATTTATTGAGCACTTACTACATGCTAGACATTGTGCTCACTACTGCGTGTGCATGAGTTCATCGGACACAGCATGCCCCCGAGGGAGGCCCAGCTCGCTCCTAGGTCTGATGAGGATGACGCTGAGGCTCAGAGAGCTTCGCTGGCACAGCTAGCAGGAAAAGGCCAAGGTTGGCTTTGAGCGGAGTCCTCAACCATACAGCTGTGCTGGGGACAGAGGTCTCCTACAATTCTAGGTCTGAGCAACCAACCCCTCAGATATCATGCAGTCTAATCCCTTTGATTTTCAAATGGTGACACAGCTCAGAAAGGGCAGTGGCCTGCACAAAGATTGGAGGTCATAGGAGAAAACAGCACATGCCAGACATTCCACTGTGGGCCATGGCGGCATCCCCTGTGCCATGCCAGGCTTCCAGGGCCACCAGCAGTCAGGTCCTCTCAAGACCCCACCTGTACACTGGTCATGCCAGCCAGGCCAAGACGCCCGACGGTGGTACCACAGGCCTCTGCTGAGGGCTGCTCACTTGTAGTATGAGGGTCCCTCCCACCCCAGGCCTGGGCCTGGCCCACTTCCTTTCTTCTCCAGCTCCCCTTCCTCTCAGGACCACCCACTTGCTCAGCCACTGCAGACACTGCTTGCCACAGTCACCTAGCCAGGCCTTCACTGTGGAGACAGGAGACAACGTCCAAGGAGCAGAGGCAGGGTCTCACTGGGAACCTCTAGTTCACTACGCTGCAGCTGCAGAGCCTACAGCGGCCAAGCCTTCCCTCCCTCGGGGTGGGGGAGGCTCCTAACTGGTTCATTTTGCTCTTTCCACAGTGGTCTCTTCTCTGTCTTTTTTTTTTTTCCCATGTTTCTATTGGTTTTTTTTGAGAGAGAGAGAGAGAGAGAGAAACATCCATGAGAGAGAAATATCAATCAGCTGCCTCTTGCACACACGCCCCCACCCCCACCGCTGGGATCCAGCCAGCAATCCTGGCACGTGCTCTGACCGGGAATTGAACCGGTGATCTCGGTGCATGGAAGGACGCTCAGTCCACTGAGCCACACCGGCCGGGTTCCATGCGTCTTTCTTGCTCTATCCCTCACATTGTTTATCTGCTTTCTTCTGTTTCTGATGTTTCTCGCAGTTTCTGTTTGCCTGTCTGTCTGTCTGTCTCTCTCTCTCTTTCTCATCAAGATGTCTGGCTAGAGTCAGGGTCCCAGCCAGGGATGGGGTGGGAGTGGAGGTGGTGGACTTGGGATTGGTCACCCCTGGATGCTGGTCCTCATTCTCATCGCAGCCGGCTTTCTTCGAGGCCAGGACTGGGTGATGGTGTCACTACTCCCGCCACAGTCTGACGTCACGCTGCCAGGCTCCACCAGACTCGAGGGCGAGCCCCAAGGGGACCTCATGCAGGCACCGGGCCTCCCAGGCTCCCCTGCCCCACAGAACGTAAGTACCTGGCACCTAGGCCTGGGCGGAGGCAAAGTCCTGAGGGCTGCATGGGAAACAGACGAACGGTCACCTCCACCTTCCAGGGACCTCCCTGGGGTCTGACATGTCCCTTCCACCAGCAGACAAGTACCCAGTGACTCCAAGATCCAGAAATATTCAGATATGCTCATTCCTTCAGTCTGGGGATTTTCCAGGGCAGGAACATACATCCATCTACTGGTGGCACCCCAGGTTTAAGAGCAATGTACCTTCGTCACACTGGGGCTTCCAAGGACAGGCTAGGTCCCCTCCGTCATTTGGGGTCCCCCTGGAGCTCAGCCCCAGACCCCTTCACCCTAGCACAGAGTAGGATCCTGGGCCAGCCTCCGCTCACAGGTCTCTGTCCTCTGTCCGCCCAGAAGCATGCCGGCTTCAGCTGCTCGTCCTTTGTGCCCGATGGCCCTCCAGAGAGGGCACCCTCGCTGCCTCCACACAGCCCCAACATCGCATCCCCAGGCCCCGAGCAAGTCCACTGCGCAGCAGGCCCTGGCCCAGGCCCTTTCCGGCTCTCACCCTCAGACAAGTACCCCGGCTTCAGCTTTGAAGAGGGCCCAGCAAGCAGCCCCGGGCGCTTCCTCAAGGGCAGCCACGTGCCTTTCCACCCGTACAAGCGGCATTTCCAGGAGGACGTCTTCCCCGAGGCCCAGACTGCCCTGGCCCTCGATGGACACTCCTTTAAGACCCCAGGGGCGCTGGAGGCCTTTGAAGAGATCCCTGTGGATGTCGGGGAGGCTGAGGCCTTCCTGCCTGGCTTCTCTGCAGAGGCCTGGTGCAATGGGCTCCCCTACTCCGGCCAGGAGCACAGCCCCCAAGTCCTGGTAAGTGCCAGTGGTCAGTGGTCATCCCATCTACTCTCTGTGCCAACTCCCAGCAGCCCAGAGAAGTCTCCTGGGATCAAACTCCCCAGCTTCCCTTTCGAGACCTTTCCGCTCAGGTTCAGTGTGTAACAAGGAAGCAGAAGGCTCTGAGACTTGGGGTCTCTTGGCTTCATTCTGGGCCTTCGGGTCCGCTAGGGAGGGGATGCTGGCCTGGACAAGCATGGAAGGGACAAGGTGGGGTAGGCAGGCCAGGTGAAAGAAGTTAGCTGGCAGCTTCCCAGTGGCTCCTGAGTCAGGATGCCAGTGTGTGACTTCTCTCTGTTTGTTCAAAGTGTCAAGAATCCCCAGCCAGACCTCTACGCCCATATGCAAATGTGAGAGAAAAAAAGCACACATTCCAGAGGCCAAGAAAAGGGTTTAGGGAGGAGCCACAAAACACAATATTCCCCTCTCCAGCATCAGCACGCAGAGTTGAGAGAGGGCTTGTCCTCTCAAAGGACACTTCCTGACCCCATTCTTCGCAGAGTGGGACCTGGGCATATTCGTAGAAATATCTTGAAAGCATTTTGAAAGGTCCACATGTCCTTCCACAGCCATATCCACAAGCTTTGTGACCTTAGGCAAGTCACTTAAGCTCTCTGAGCCTCTTTCAAAAAGTAAGCTTAACAGTATCTGCTTCCTAGACCTGTTGCCTTGGGAAGAGGAAAGCTAAGAGGAGCTTTGCTGCCTGCCCCCCAGCTTTGGGGTGGGGAGCACTAAGTGGGCTCAGCCTGGGCTATGCCTACTCTGGATGCCCACCAACCCTCCTCAGCTCCCATTGCATCCCCCAGCCACCCCTAACAAAGGCCTGTTTCCCAGGCTTGGAAGATAGAGGAAGGGGTTGGGCACCTACCAAGTGTGGCCAAGACAGGACCCTTGTTCTGGTTCTGGGGCCCTTTGATGGCTTCTCCTCAGGCCTATTGAACATGACAGCAGGTCACAGTGAGGGCACCATCATATCAGATGCTGCCCCCACACAGTGTCTTCTCAATGCCAGCCCCTGGCCACTCTGCCAGGAGTAGGAGTAAATGCTCCCATTTAGTCCTCACAACAGCACTCTAAAGAGTTCCCTCTGGGTCCATTTTGCAGATGGGTAAACTGAGGCTCAGTAGAGGCCAAGTGACTTGTCCCTTAGCCTGTAAGAGGTGAGGCTGAGACTTGAGTGCACACCCTTAACCCCCTGCACAGTGGAGAAAAGCTCAGGCCCAGAGCCCCACAGCTAGCTGGTCAACTGTCTAGGTAACCTGGGCACATCACTTCCCCTTCATGGGCTTAGCCCCATCATCTGCCAAATGAGGGGGTTGGACACAGTGCTCTTGGCCCTTCCAGGCCTGAGATTCTATGATTATGGCTATCTATGCATCAGCAACCCCAGGGCACACCCAGAGAGCTCACAGCTGATTTGACCCTCTGGCCCAGATGCTGGTTCCCAAGTACCCTCATAATCCCAGGAACAGTGGTCCACCTCCTCCAAGCCTTATTCATCTTCCAGCCTAGCTGCGCCCGTCTTTCCTGGCCCTACTCAGGGTAAAGCTCTGTGCTAGGCCCTGAGGCCTCTGTGTGGGGCTCACAGTTCATGGAAATCCAGAGTCTGGCCACCACCACTGGCAGGAGCTACAGGCTCCCTGTGCCAGTTTGAGAGAGTGCCATAGGCTGGTGCAGACCAGCAATGAATGGGGCAGACTCCCTGAAGCAGGGAGCAATGGCTCTAGGGGAGGTGGGGGGTGGCAGATAGAGCAGAGAGAGGACTCACTAGCCCCCTCCAGGGAGCCTGCTGGAGCTTCCTCGGGCTTTGCAGAAGAGAAAGTGGCATGGCCTGGAGGCCCCAGCTGGACCAACCTGTCTGGCCACTTCCTGGGCTCATCATGGCTCTGCAGAGGGAATTCTGGAGCTGTGGCCTTTACCTGGTGTCCTTTGCAGACCTGTTCTAAAAGGCTGGGGCTCTGAACCCTCAGGCAGACCCTGGGCTCCACTTGGTGAGTGGGGTCAGACACTGCACCCCCCCTTGTGCCATTGCAGGGAGATTGCTGGCCCTACCCCAGCCTCAGTGAAACAAGTCTCCCCCACTTCCCTGGACGGCCCTGCCTCCTCCTTTCACCCGCAGCGAGGTGGGAGGTGGGGAGCACTGTCAGCTCCAGCCCCAGCTCCACCACTCATTGCTGAGTTCCCTTGGAAAACTCCCTGCCCTTCTGTGTTCTCTGTTCTCCAGGAATGAGCTTTGGGGAGGCAAAGTAGGAGTTGTTTTTGTGGAAGGTTTAAGACACAGAAGAGAGGAAGGAAGAAAGATAAGGCCTAGCCCAGTTATCTGCTTTTTCTTCCATCAGGGGTCAGAAGTCAAGGTCAAGCCCCCAGCTCTGGAGAGTGGTCCTGGCATGTACTGTTTCCAGCCCCCCTTGCAGCACATGTACTGCCCCTCCCAGCCTCCCTTCCACCAGGTGGGTTTGGGGCAAGTGGGCATGCTTCCCCAGAGTCTCAGGATGCTATGTGGGTGTGTGATGTGTGGGTGTGTATGCATCCAGGTGGGCAGCAGAGCCCTAACCCTCAGGCTAGGCCAACTGAGGTGAGGGGCAGGGTTCATGGGGAGGGAAGCAAGTGCCCTTCTCTAGGGTTGGGTGGGGTTTTTCTGAGACCCAGGCAGGGCCTGAGAGATCTCAGAAAAGAGAATGGGACTGAGATTGGGGCAGGGCCCAGATATGAACTAAAAAGGGAGGGAGGAAGAGAACCAGACAAAGACCAGGCAGAGAGAAAGGAATGTGTGGGGTGACACTCAAGGCAGGGAACAATAGCCACCATCTTTTTATGTGGCCTTGGCCTTGAATTCCTTTTAGCTCAGACAGGGTGGGACCAGGCATCGAGCTAGTGGAACTTCCCACCTGCAGGCTCCAAGTCCCCATCGTCTTCGGCCCTTTCCCCCTTCCCCACCTGACTGCCCAGCCTCAGCTCCTCCTAGTTGTGCAGGATGCCAAGCAATTGCCCCACACTGGCATAGGATGGAGGTATTTAAAAGAAGGAATAAAGGAAAGAACCCCAGAGCAGGTAGGCAGCTCCCAGGAGTCACCGGGCAAGACAGAGCAAGTGGCTGCCCAGCGCCCAGCTCCATCCACCTGCAGCCTGGCACTGAGACAGGCCCTGCCTGTGGAGCAGGTTCCACTCCCAGCCTTTGGCACTGGCCCTGATCTTGGCCCAGCCAGGGAGGCAGGCACGTGGCGGGGGGAAGTAGTCAGACTGTTTGCTTTGTGGGAAGGAAGAAAGCGATGGAAGGAAGCAGAAGGGACACATGAGGGGTCATCTCATGAGGGGCCCAGCTGAAATGGCCAAAGCCTCCCTGAGGCTCATGGTCTGACCCATGGTAGCGGGTGTCCCTGAGGCAGCCTGGCCCATCAGGGACTAAGCCACAGCAGGGCTAAGGGGCAACCAGACCTTAAATGGCCTCACCATGCCCAGCCCTGTTTTGATGCCCTCTGCATTCCGCACCCCATCCTCCAACAAGATGGCCGCACCCAGGCTTTATGGAGCCTGCAGAAAGGGTGACTCAGGTACTAAGTGCCGCTCGGGTGACCTGGAAAAAGCACATCAGCTTGGGGCAGATGGGGGAGTCAGAGTCCCCTCCCCCCTCCCCCCCATAAAACACCATCCCTGGCACCACAGCCACTCCCTTTGCTGTAAAACCACCTCCTACCCCCACCTGCCCACCACCATGACCAGCTCTTTCAAAGAGCCACTGAAACTCATAAAAGGTGGCAGTGCCCAGCAAACGCCCAGGCTGGACATCCCACTTCCGGCCTAGCTGCTCCAGGAGATGCAAGAGAGGCCTGGAGTGCCTGCCCAGTAGGGTGCAGAAGCCAGAACTACCCACTGCACGTCCAGCCCAGCCGGGCTGCTATCCCGTCACCATGGCAACCAGAGTACCTGGAGGGCCTGAGAGGAAAGGGCTGAAGGAAGGGAGCTTTGAGGCCTCTGAGATTCTGAATTCCACAATGTGGATCTCCTCACAGGCACTTGGATGTCCACACCCTGGGCCAACCCCCTCAGGTAGTTCTGCCACTGGAGCCCTTGACCATGAGTGGTGGAGCCTAGGACCAGGGAGAGAGGAATCTAGTCTCAGCTCCCTCTCTGGATGTACATGAATGGGGGAAGGGGACCCCCTCCTCCCTCTCTGGATGTACATGAATGGGGGAAGGGGACCCCCTCCTGGGGAAGACTGGTTACCATGGCAACCACTCTGCCCCTTTTGACCTCTACAGTACTCACCAGGTGGCGGCAGCTACCCTGTACCCTACCTGGGCTCCCCACACTATCCGTACCAGCGGATTGCACCCCAGGCCAGCACCGATGGGCACCAGCCTCTCTTCCCCAAACCCATCTACTCCTACAGGTATGTCTCCCAACACTCCTGGGTGGAATGAAGACCGGTGGGAGGACCCCTGGGGAAACTGAGGCATGGAATCCTCATGGTATAAGGATAATGGTGTGTGTTGGGGGGATTATAGCCAGAGCGTGTTGGAGAAGGGTTTTTTTTCTGTTTGTTTGTTTTCTTTGTTGATTTTAGAGAGAGAGGAAGGGAGAGAGATAGAAACATCAATGAGAGAGACCATAGACTGGCCACCTCCTGAATGTCCTCAACTGGGGATTTGGCCCACAGCCTGGGCATGTGCCCTGACCAGGAATTGAACCGGCGACCTCTTGGTGCGTGGGTCGACACTCAACCACTGAGCCACACCGGCCTGGCGGAGAAGGGGTTTTTTCATGGGGACAGGGAGATAGACTAGGTCACTTCTGACCTCTCATCTAATCCTGGGGAGCCATGTCTGTGGCTCAACTCAGCAGACCTGGTGCCCTGCAGGAAGCCTGCTAAGTTCTAGCCTCCTGGGGCCAGGGCCTGGGACTGAGAGTTTAGGAGGGATGCTTGTCCCCTTTCCCCACCCTCCCTCCCCACATACAGAGGGAAGTTCTTCTCCAAAGCTCTACTGGAAATAAGTGAGGAACGAGGGCGGCAGATGTGATACTTATTCAGCATCTGCCAGATGTGGTGCACCTGCTCTAGGGCCGGGATTGTAAGTGCCAGGCCAGCAGCACCAGCCTATCTGGGAGACCTTCTGTCTGAACTTTCCTTTTCCAACCAACAGTGAGACTTGACTTCCTGTGTACCAGGCCTCACATGGGGTCAGGTCATTAGCCAGTGTGAGCTCAGGGGAAGGAAAAGGAATTTAAACATCATCCAAGAACACAGAGAAGGGGTTTGTGGGAGGCAGGGTGATGCACAGAAAGGAGCACACCAGTCCTTGGAGTCCTGCAGAACTGGGTTCAAGTTCAGGCTCTGGAATTTACTAGCTGTGAAACCTCAGGCAAGTTATTTAATCTCTCTAAGTCTTTGTTTATTTGTTTGTTTTTTTTTTTAAAAAAAAAAAACAGCAATATTCAGGCCTTTAGAAGGATTAAGTGCGAGAATATGCCTGGCACATTGTAGAGGTTCAAGAAACCTTAATTCCCTCCCTTACTATCCAACATTTCTGCAGTTGACTGAGGGCTGACTGCTAATGACAGCTTCCATTTAATGAGTGCTTCTATGTGCTAGGCATCATCCTTAATCCTCACAACTTTGAGGTAGCTATTACATTCTTTACTTCAAAGCTGAGGAAAATGAGGCTCAGAGAGGTTAAGGCACTCACCAAAGGTCACACAGCTAGTGAGTGGCTAAGCCAAGATTGCAACCCAGGTCTCTCAGATTCCACAGGACCCTGGTATATCTATACTTCCTGACTTCAGTGGACACTTTTTCATCCCTTCTCCTTTTGGCCTCATAGAGCCTCTCGCCCATTAATTCTGCAGCAAGTTATTTCTCCTCAACCACTCCAGCTGGGACGGGGGGGTTGGGAGTTCTGGTCAGAGGTTAAAACTCTCAGCGTTTTCTCTGCCTTCAGCATCCTCATCTTCATGGCCCTTAAGAACAGTAAAACTGGGAGCCTTCCTGTCAGCGAGATCTACAATTTTATGACGGAGCACTTTCCTTACTTCAAGGTGAGCCCAAGACCCTCTCCCACTCCCCCAGGCCCAGGTGCTGGGCAAGACAAGCCTCTCTGGAACCAGGGGATTCAGCTGGGAGGTGTGAGAAGAGTTAGAGTGAAATCCAGGAGAGATTTCCCCCCACATGCTTCCCCTTATCTCCACTTCAGAAGGACGGGGTTCCATGTGGAGAACAGAGCTCAAACCATTCACTGAAGGTTACACAACAGGCTGGAGTCAGACCTTATTCTGCTGGAAGGTGGACATGTCAGTCCTGTTAGGCTTCAAGAAGCATCCACCTACCCCAAGTGAGGAGAGAGAACTAGGGAAGAAATGAGAGACGGTCCCCACCCCTGCCCCCAAGATGCCGTAGGTCTGGAGGAATTTGGGTAGGAGCTGGCCAGCCAAGGTGACATGGATGCTGGGACCGCAGAACCCAGTGCCTTCCAGGGAGAGATTAGGATCTGCCTCTGTGGGTGGCAGGCTCAGCTGCAGTTCTGCCAAAAAGCCGGGTGTGGGCTTCATGGTCTTTGAGTGTCCCAGGGAACTGGCTGGCTTGCCTAACCTTCCCATGTACGGGATCTAGTTCCCATCACCCACGGAAGGGGCTTCCTTCCCTAGGGGCAGGACAGATGCCCTTTTCTCCAGAAGGGCAAACACATCAGAGAAGGTGACTCATCTGCTCAAGGTCACTCAGCAGGTGAGGCAGTTGCTAGGTCCAGTTGTTTGGCTTCACACAGCACCCATTTCCTTTCTCTGCATGCCCCCCAGACCCTCCAGCACAGACTGCTTCTCCACTGGTGGGTGCAGGGGAGATCAGAACTTGGGTGGAGTGCCTTCTCCAAGGCCTGCACCCTGATGGATACAATCTCATCTGCTACCCAGGCAGAGGGCGGAAGCTGAGGCCCAGCTAATCCAGAGCTCAGCTCCACCTGCCAGTGGGTGATTCCCAGTCCCACATCTTCCCCATTGTCTTGCCTGGGGGATAATTTGAGGCTGATATTCAAACAAGTTTGCACTTGCTGAGCTGCCTTCAGATGAGGACTGGGGCAAGATGGCCAGAGCAGTCTGGTCAGGAATGGAAAAGCATGGTCACCTACCAGAGGTTCTGGAAGGAAGAGGAGGAAGGAGAGTTGTCTCTGGGATTCGAGAAGCAGAAAGCCAGTATCCAGGGCTGCCCCTGTACCCAAACAGGTCAGGGAACCAAATTCCCCTCCACCCCTAAAGCCTTTGGAGGGTCCTGCAAACCCTAAATCCTTTGGAGGGTCTTCTAGGACTTTAAGGGGCCAGGCCAGAGAGAGGGAAGTGAGGGCCCCGCCCAACCCCTCTCAGCCTTTCTTCCCTGCTCACTCCTGAGCTGGCCCCCAGCCTCTCCCTGCATCTCATCTTCCTGGCTTAATTATTTTTCCTGGGAGCCATGTAATCCCTGTTTTATAGAGCTGAAGAGTGAAGAGGTCTAACAGCTTTTTTTTTTTTGTTCTAGTTGTTGTTCTTAGCCGTTGCATCACTCCCTCACTCCCTCGTTTACATTTGACTTCAGAGAGAAAGCATCTTTGAGGATGGGACGGGCCCAGATGATGAAGCCAACCCCATGGGGTGACCTGGGCAGGGCCCTTAACTAGGGGACAGAGTTGGAGTCTGGGCTCTGTTACTGCATCCTTGTGTGATCTAGGGCTAGGCCCTTTCTTTTCTAAACCTCAGTTTCCCAATCTGTAAAATGGCCAGGTTGAACCAGTTGGTACATAGATTCTTTCTTTCCCACTCTGACACTTCCCCTCTGACCCACCTAAGGAATTAATTCAAAGATCCCCTGTTCCCTCTATCTCTCCCTCCCCATTTGAAGGTTCTTTTTCTGGGCAAGGACCCCGGGGTGGTCAGCGCTCATGTGCGAGGTAGCTGAGGTGGGCGTCCTGTAGCCCCATGAGTCAGGGCTGTGGGACTAGAGACGTGTCCATCCACTGGACATAATTGCTAGTGATGACCATCCTTCTCCCAAACAGGAAGTGGCTGGGGTGGGAGCTGCCCTGGCATCTGAATTCACAGATTTATAGAGCTATAAAAGTGCCCAATGCCCATCAACTCTGCCCATCAGGAACACAGCTTTGACTCTCCCAGTAGGGACTGTCGTAGGAGTTGGAGTTGAATCCCCAGCTGGCTGGTCTAGTGGCTCAAGACTTCTTCCTTGTGACCCTGGGAGCCTTAGAGGTCCTCTCAAGCAGCCCCCCCGCCGCAGGCCAGCTGCCCTGAAGAAAGACTCCCATAGCTCCTGCCAGCAACTTGCAGCGAGTTGGCAGCGGAGCCCAGTTCAGCCGGCATGATTCAGCCCGGCAGCTCCCTGGGGCAAGTGAGCTGGGGAGGAGGGAGTGGCTGCCCCTTATTAAGCAGAAACTTGGAGCTGAAAGGGAGAGGGGCCCCACGGGCCAGAGCAGGTACTCTACCCACAGTCACCCCTTCTGGGCCCAGGACTGTCATAGAGCCTGGCACAGAGCTGGAGGTGGGAGGACTGGGGGTGCCTACTGGCACCCCCGCCACCGCCTCTCACCCAACTGAGTCAGCCTAATGGTTTTTACAACACTCCCTGGGCACAATTACTGCACTGGTGACATGACCAGGCCTCCTAATGGGTGTTTATTCTGTTGGCACGAGTGCCCCCCCACCCCGCCGGAGGGCTGGCCTCCCCACCAGGGCACGCCCCTCGGCCACACTCATGTGAACACTCACACCCACATAGGCATACAATCATGGGTACCCACACACACCAGAGAGACTTTCTCACACACACTCATCCTCAGGGACATAGCCTCACACTCAGGAATTCACAGACTCATGCCCGGAGACCAGCTCACACCAGGGAGACACCCAGAGGGACCTGTGACGCCCATCCACACAGCCTCTCTCCCTCTCACACACACACCCAAACTCAGGCACACATGCAGACGTATGTACCACAGTGCACACACCCAAACTCTCATCACTTCACCCAACTTCATCTTTCTTTTCTCCCACATCTGCCCCAGAGGGATGAGGCTGACCCAGGACAACATTCCACAGCGTCCCCCTCATTCCTTCTCCAAAGTTGGCACCAGAGACCTCAGAGTAGCGAGTTCCCTTTCCACAAGGGCTCCGAGCACAGGCTCCCAGGCCCATAGGGAGTGGCCCGGTGCCAGGTGTGGGAGAAGCCTAGGCCTCTGTAGCACCAACCAGCTGTCCCTTCAGGAGACACCTTGACCATCCTCAAGGCCGGCCAGGAAAAAGGTAGGAAGAAGACAGATTTTAGGTGAAAACCACTTGTGGTCAACCCCTGCCAACCCCTCCCCCACCACTAAAGGGAACCGAGCCTGGGCTGGGTGCTGAGGAGGACGAGGCCCAGAGTGGGTGGCAGTTCTGTGCAGGGCAGAGGTTTTCTGGAGCCCAGACCCGGGACCAGCTCTGGCTGCCCGATCACGGCCTGACGTCTTGTTCTGCTCCGGCAGACGGCGCCCGATGGCTGGAAGAATTCCGTCCGCCATAACCTGTCTCTCAACAAGTGCTTCGAGAAGGTGGAGAACAAATCGGGGAGTTCTTCTCGCAAGGGCTGCCTGTGGGCCCTCAATCCGGCCAAGATCGACAAGATGCAGGAGGAGCTGCAGAAGTGGAAGAGGAAAGACCCCATCGCTGTGCGGAAGAGCATGGCCAAGCCAGGTGAGGCGCCGGGCTTCAGGGGAAGGCCCGGGCTTCCCACGAGCCAGAGAGACACTGAAAAAGGAGAACTGATGAGTAAGGAAAGGGCCCGAGTACAGTTCCAGGGCTCAGGAAGGTTTGGGGGGAGAGGAAGGTCTCATGGTATCCCTCTCTCTTGGGCTTTTTCAGAAGAGCTGGACAGCCTCATTGGAGACAAGAGGGAGAAGCTGGGCACCCCACTCCTGGGCTGTCCACCCCCTGGGCTGGCAGGCTCAGGCCCCATCCAGCCCCTGGCACCTCCAGTGGGGCTCCCCCAGCCGCTGCACTCAATCCACCCAGCTCCAGGCCCTATTCCTGGCAAGAACCCCCTGCAGGACCTACTTGGGGGGCATGCGCCCTCCTGCTATGGGCAGACATACTCACACCTTTCACCGAGCCTGGCCCCTCCTGGAACTCCACAGCCATTGTTCCCGCAGCCAGATGGGCACCTTGAGCTGCGGGCCCAGCCAGGCACCCCCCAGGACTCGCCTCTGCCTGCTCACACCCCACCCAGCCACAGCACCAAGCTGCTGGCTGAGCCTTCCCCAGCCAGGACCATGCATGACACCCTGCTGCCAGACGGAGACCTTGGCACTGACCTGGATGCCATCAATCCCTCTCTCACCGACTTCGACTTCCAGGGTGAGCTGGGGGTGGGAAGGGGAGGTGGGACAACACTGGAGTACACCTGGCACTGTGGCCCATCCCCACCAAGTCTCTAGGTTGCGGCTTGCTAGCTGCCAGATTTCTAGTCAACAGAAGCAGAGAAGGCCGGAGCAGAGCAGGCAGGCTGTCAAGGGGCAAAGAAGAATGTCCCTGCCTTCCTCCTTGTGCCCCTGAGCATGTTCCCACTGACCCCATCATCAAAGCACTGTCAGTCTGGGTAGGCTGGAGAGGGCCTGTTTTATTCCATATTTGGCTGCAGGCGACAGAGAGTCCTAACATTCCCAAAGCAGTTACATCTTCTGAGTTCATCTTTTAATACATAAAGAGGAAAGAGATCTGACCCCTAGAAGAATGGTAGGCCTCAGAACCAGGCAGGTCCTGGAGAGACTTAGGGGTAGAAGTCTGGGGAGAGGGTCTATCCATTCCACTCCATCTCTGCATGTGACTAGGCCCCCCTGTTTCTCTCCAGTGCACCCCAGGCCCTGGCACTGGCCACGGGAGGTTTTGAGGATTGTGCTGAACCAGACCACCGACCCCTGGCGTACACTGGGATGGGAGGCAGCCAACCACCCGAGAGCTCCCAGTCTGGTGGAAGCTAGTTCTCAGGAAGCTAGATCCTCACTCCCATCCAGAAGTGGGAAGCAGGGTTCGACAGCCTTGGAGGAGCTATAGACATAAACGTTTACTTGGCCCCGACAATCAGGCAGCATGCTAGGCGCTTTTCATGTGCTCCGTCTCAGGGGCCTGCAAGATAGGAGGGATTATTATACACATTTCACAGAAGCACAGAGGCTAAGTAACTTTCTCAAGGTCACTTAGCTAGAAAGAAGAAGAGTTAGGGTTGAAATCCAGACAGCCAAGTTCAGTATTTAGTCCAGCCTCCTTCCACTAGACCCTGCCACCCCAACACCCAGGGCAATTGCCAGGGCACAGACACAGAGGAGGATGAGGCGGCAGCACTATTTTCTCCTCGGAGTAAGGTGTGCTTCCGGCTCTGTCCCCGTCCCTTCGGCCCTGTAGTAGAGGTGGCCCAGGGAGCCAGGTCCAGCCATCTCATCAGGTCCAGCAGGGCACTGGAGGAAGATCTGTGGTCCGGGCTGCAGATCCACCTTCCTTGGAGCCTGAGCAGCAGCTAGAATGCAGAGTTCCTGGGGCTCCCTCCCCAGGCTACCTCTGGAGTGCACAGCAGCTGCATCAACCCTTCCAATGGGCAGTTTTCAAATCCTCAATCCTCCCCACCTCCCTAAAAAAAGCCACAGAGATCATCTGGGCTATGGCTTTTAGACCATACATGGGAGGAGGAATCAGAGAGATTCAGCAACTACTTGGGGTCACACAGCTCGTGCCAGGGTCTCTTCCCCAGCATATGTGACCCACTGTGCTCTCTTTAGCATGTGGTAGCCATGGGGTGGGGGGTAAACAGGGCCCCTTTGGTGCCTCTCAGTGACTCCTGTTCTCTCCCCCAACTAGGAAACCTGTGGGAACAGCTGAAGGATGACAGCTTGGCCCTTGACCCTCTGGTACTGGTGACTTCATCCCCGACATCGTCGGCAATGCTGCCACCTCCACCACCACCCCACTGCTTCCCCCCTGGGCCCTGTCTGGGAGAGACGGGCAGTGGGGCAGGTGACTTGGCATCACCAGGCAGTGGGGGCTCTGGAGCACTGGGTGACCTGCACCTCACCACCCTCTACTCAGCCTTCATGGAGCTGGAGCCCACGCCCCCCACGGCCCCCGCTGGCCCCTCTGTGTACCTCAGCCCCAGCTCCAAGCCCATGGCCCTAGCATGAGCCATGCCCAGCAGCAGCTCCAGCCTTTGCCTGGCCTGGAAGTCCCAGCTGGCCGCCCACATCGGGCTCACCTTAAAGGTCAAAGAAGGAAAACTCTCCCTGTCCCTATGACACTAAGCCAACTTGTTAGCTGGCAGCTGCAGGTGGAGACACCGCCTAGGATGCTGCCCCCTCACACATTTCTGCTGCCTGGTGGGCCGGCTCCTCACTCAGAGTCCCTGGAGAACAAGTGTCTGGCAAGAAGAAAACACACTCTCACTCTTCCACACTCAAGCCTTCACGCACGTGTGCACGTGCGCGCACACAGTTCTTCAGACATACACCCACCCTCATGCCTTGTATCCAGAGGAATCAGAACTACACCACAGAGCCTGACTTCATTTTGGGGGCAGCTGACGGCTGAGTGCTTTGGTTACCAAAAGCTCAGTGCCCCGTGCCAGGTCTAAGAACATCTTGAACACTATTTTGATGTCACATTCTCTTCAGGCCTGGCCCCCTCCAGGCATGATCTTTCCCCAAAGTCCCGGTATTTATTTTCCCATCTTTATCCCAGCAGCCCATAAGGGAGGAGGAGACTCGGAGCCTCTCCCCAAGTGGCCTGGGGACTCCCGGGGGGGCTGCTATTTAGCAGCACTGACTGCCAGGCTCTACCCATCCTCAGCATATGCTCTGTCTAGGGTGACACACAGGAGGGGCCACGTCTACCCCAGGACCAAACTGAGCCCAATCCTGACACAAAGTGTTTGGAAAAGCCCCTGCCCTTGGAAACTTGAAAGTGTCCTCTCCTTCCAGCCCTGGGTGTAGGAAGGGCCCCTCCAAGTCACTACAGTCTCACTCCTTCTCTATAAGAAGTTCATGTAGTTTAGGCCCCAGCTTACTAAGTACTTCCAACTGCCTGAGGCAGCCTGGGCAGTCAGGGAAGGGAAGCCTGGCACAGGCTGGCGGGGGAGCACCCATGCCCCTCTCTTTGACTGCTTGGCAGACCCGGGATGCCCTTGGAGCTAGGGGTTGTGGCCCAGTTGCCTGCCATGCCCTACTGGAAAGCCCAACCCCTACCAAGTGGGAACCTCAGCCTGGCCTGGGCCTGGGAATGACAAGAACCCCCCAAGTTTGGCCTCAGATGAGGCACAAGCAGATCCCTCCATGGCCTGCCATTGTCCCCTGTCCTGGAACAATAAAGCACGTGCCTGTGGTCTCTGCTACCTAGCCTTCCTTTCTGGATCTCTCCTCCCTAGGGAGAAAGGTCAGGCCACACTGACGGTAGATGTCCTGGGCCTGTGACTTCACCCCACTCTCACCCAGGACTGGGAGGCATCTGGGAGGACTTCCTGACCAGCCGGAGGATGAGGGCACAGGGGGGTGGAGTCTTTCTGGGAGAACTCCCCAAAGAATGCGAAGAAGCAGCTGCCCTGCCCAGAGGAAAGGAGAGGTTGCCCTCCCCTCACACCCCTTCCAACTGAGATCCACCTCCCCGCTCCTAGCTACCCTCATCTCCTCACGCGGGGAGAGGCCACTTCCCTGTCCAGGCTGTGCCTTCCTGCCCCCATCTTTCCCTGGCCGGGGCTCTGGTTCCACAGGTGACATGAATGGTACATGGCCTCTGCTGTGCGCCGCTGGCACTGCAAGACGGTCCCTGGAGGATCGGGGGCCCCTCAGTCCCGCTTCAGGCTCCCCTCCCAGGCGCCCCTCCGGGCAGGCGGCCCCACACTCTGCCTGAACAGGGACGGGAAAGATGTAGGAACCAAGAGCCTCAGTCTCACAGCAGCCACAGGCGGGGCTTCGGCTTAGAAACTCCTTTCAAGGCCTGGTGGGTGTGGCTCAGTGGTTGAGCATTGGCCCATGCACCAAAAGGTCACCAGTTCGATTCCCAATCAGGGCACATGCCCAGGTTACGGGCCGATCCCCAGTGGGGGCATGCAGGAGGAGGCCAATCGATGTTCCCTCTCATCGATGTTTCCATCCCTCTGTCTCCCTCTCCCTTCCTCTCTCTCTCTCTAATATCAACAAAGAAAAAACAAAAAAACAAAAAAAGGAAGAAGAAAGTCTATCCGGGGGTCAGCCAACATCACCTGGCTGCCCTATAGGACAGCTGTGCAGAAGATCTCATAATGGAACCCCACCCGACATCAGTACCTCCGTACCGGAGGCTCTCCGGCTGGTCCAGGCCTAGAGGGACAGGGTGAGGAGTGGGGGAAGGCATGGCCAGTGGTGCACCTAAAAGAAAGACCCACCCAGCCCGGCCCTGGCTGCATAGGAAGGGGGTGAAAGGTCAGTGTTGCAGCCCAGTTCTGACCAACCCTGGGCCTGGGTCTTTATGCCCAAGCCCCCAAGAACAACGCAAGTGTTTCATGAGAGAACTTTACTGGGACCCACTTCCTTGCCTCAGACTCTCAAACCACAGAGGCTCACACAAACCTACTCTACAACTCCAGCCTAGTCTGTAAGCAGAGGACATCTCCAGGACGCCTGGGCCCATCCATCATACCTATGAGTGAGTTGGCCCCCCTGAGGCTAAGATAGGCAGCAAGCAGATAGGACTTTGAGTCTCATTTTTGTTTGTTTGTAACCAGACTTGGTCCTTAGACTTTATTTTTTAATATGTTTTCGTTGATTTTTTTTTTGAGAGAGAGAGAGGAATGGAGAGAGAGGGCAACATCGATGTGAGAGAGAAGCATCAATCGGCTGCTTCCTGCACAACCCCCACCGGGGATCGAGCCAGCAACCTGGCATGTGCCCTGACCTGGATTCAAACCAGGACCTTTCAGTCCGTGAGAGGACGCTCAGTTCACTGAGCCACACCAGCTGGGTTACCCTTAGACTTTTAAAACTGGACAAGTGACTCTCTGAACTGAGCCCGCTCGTATGCTGCCCCCTGCTGGCCACTTTACAGCAAGTGTTCAATCACCATTTTAGGATGAGCAATTGTGAATGGATGCAGGGTCTGAAAGTCTCTTTGAGGGGAATTATCCATTTTGTTTAGGGACTCTAAACCTGCAGGTTTTGAAACTGGTTAGAATTTATGGGTTCAGTGAACTTGGATAAAGAAATTACACCTTCAGCCCAGCCAGTGTGGCTCAGTAGTCGAGCAATGACCCACTGACCAAGAGGTCTCTGGTTCATATCCCCATCGAGCCCAGGTTGTGGGCTTGATCCCCAGTCAGGGGTGTGCAGGAGACAGCCAATTGATGTGTCTCTCTCATTGATGTTTCTCTCTCTCTCTCTCTCTCTAAAAAAATCAATAAAAACATTTTTAAAAATTTTTTTAAAGAAATTACACCTTTATTTTTATTCATCTCTACCTCAAATTTACCATTTCTCTTGATTATGAATGGCAGCAACAAATCACGATAGCTTTAGCAGAACCTGTGACTTTGCCATTAGAAAGAGAAATTACAGCCCTGGCCGGTTTGGCTCAGCGGTTGGAGCGTCGGCCTGCGGTCCCGAGAGACCCGGGTTTGGTTCCCGCTAAGGGCATGTACCTCAGTTGCAGTTTGTCCCCGGCCCTGGTCGGTCGTGCGGGTGGCAGCCACTCGATGTGTCCCTTTCACATTGATGTTTCTCTCTCTCTCTCTCTTCCTCGCTCTCCCTCCCACTCTACCTGAACAAAAAGTGTCCTCGGGTGAGGATAAAAAAAAAAAGAAAGAGAAATTACAGATGTTTTCATATTACATTACAGATACTGCAGAATAGATATAGGCAGAGATGTCTAGATATAGTTTTTTTCCTTTATTGAATTGTTTTTTCTTTTTTTTGAGAGAGAGAGGAAGGGAGAGGGAGAGATAGAAACATCGATGGGAGAGAACATCAGTTGGCCGCCTCCTGCATGCCCCCCACTGAGGATTTGTCCCACAACCTGGGCGTGTGTCCTGACCAGGAATCAAACCAGCGACCTCTTGGTGCATGGGTCGACATTCAACCACTGACCCACACCAGCCAAGCATATATATAGTTTTTAATATTTAACAATATAAGATTAAAATATACTTTATGTACATAAAAACCTTATTATCCATACGCTTCAGTAGACAAAGACAAAGGGGTCCTCAAAACACAGGAATGTCAAGCACCCTTGCTTTAGTTGCTGGATGGTGGGGAAGTGGAGGCTGGCTCTTAGGGGATGGGCGGGGCTAGGGAGGAAGTCCCTAAGGGCTTGAGACGGCAGCTCTACATCAGCTGGAAGGGAAACATCTCAGTATTTTACAACAGGTTTGAGTCCCAAAGTGCACCCTGCAGGCTGGCCTGGGTGGGATGAGCAGGTTGTCTCCGGCTAGTATTTGGGCTTTCTTGTTCAACCCAGTGGTAAGGTCTTTGTGACACCTCTGAGGAATCAAAGCAAAAATATCTGGCTGACTTCAGAGAGATAGAATCTGAGGATGGCCAGGTCCAGCACAGTCCAGATCAACCTTACAAGTCAACAGCTCATCATAATCACAGCCAGACTAGTCCCACCCCACCCTGTCTTCTTCCTTCTACTGCCCAGGAATCCCTTAGGTTCCTAGGGAAAGTGCCAGAAACCAAATGCAGCAAGTTGCACTGTTAGCAGCCAGACCAATGCCAGACACATGAAGACTTAAAAGGAGGCAGGGGGCCAAGGGACACAGGCCTCTCTGGGTGAGTGTCAACCTGGCAGATCCAGGGATGCAGACCTCAGAACAGGGACTTCCTCCCTGTCTGAAGGTGGAAGTGCAGCAGACCCAGCCCAGAACCTCAACCCAATTTGACTTAGCAGGTGCAGTGATAACTGTTATCAGTTGGTAGGAGAGGGTCCTCTTCCTGACACCTGTGTAGGCCTAAAAGTCCCACTTGTTCACCATAACTTCTCTTGTAACCCCATAAACAATACCTCCAACTCCAAATACTTCTAGACTTACACAGCCTCATCTGCAAACCAACCCCCCATCCCCTGCCCCTTCTTCATCTTTGTGACAATTGCTGAACACCTGCTTCTTGGTGAAATTCTTTCTTCCTTCTCTTTAACATAACTTACTCTAAAATGGGCTCCTGTGCCTACTTCTCTGGCTGCTGCTCCTTCTGTCTCCATTACTAGTTCCCCTCCCTCTGGCCTGCAAAACTCCCTGGCTTTCCTGAGGGTTATACACTCTCATCCAGTGACCCTGAGTTGGAGGTGTGAGCTATTAGCATGAGTGCCCCATTAATTGGAAGACATTTGGCATTTCTGTCCCCTGCTCACTAAATACCAGTAGTGCCCATTGGGAACCCCATAATCTCAGCTACCATCATAGCTTCAGCAATCACCTTGTGACCAAAGACCCCCAGGCATCACTGTCTCCAGCCCTCATCCCCTTCCAGGTCTCAGTGCCCAAATTTCCTGTCTCCTCCTGATCACCTCCTACAGGACATCTGATCTGTACCACACTACAGCAGGTCCCAACTTAGACTCGTCACCTCCCACCAGCGCCCACCGTGATCCAACCTGCGTTCCCAAGCCCAGTAACAACACACCTATCCACCCTAACACTCAGGTCACAGACCAAGGATTCAGCCTCGACTCCTCCCTTTCTCCAAGTCCTTCATCCAATCAACCACCAGCCCTGGAGATTTCACCTCTTAAAAATCTCAACTTCAGCCTGGCCGGTGTAGCTCAGTGGATTGAGTGTCGTTCTATTGACTGAGAGGTCCCAGTTCAATTCCCGATCAGAGCACAAGCCTGGGTTGCAGGCTCGATCCCCAGTAGGGGGCGTTCAGGAGGCAGCTGATAGATGTTTCGATGTTTCTGTCTCTCTCTCCCTTCCTTCCTCTCTAAAAAAAAAATCAATAAAAATAAAAATCTCAACTTCATCTCTTTCTCCCCATTTCTATTGATATTGACATAATCCAGGTTGCCTTTATCTCTCATCCAAATTCCTGCA